TTTTTTTTTTTTTTTTTTTTTTTTTTTTTTTTTTTCTCGAGGATGCCCCAAACCCCCGTGTTCACATAGATTGAGCAATTCTCAACACACACTGTAATAATGAGCTTTAATTCTCTATCCAAGCAGAACTTGAGCAATAATAATAAGCACATCAGAACAATTTGTTTACTGTGGCATTGCACAGGCTGCAGGGTCCAAGACTAGCTCCAATAAACGGTAAAAACCAAAGGAAACTCTCTAGAACGGGAAAAATATTGCGATAGAAAAGTGGTTTTGGCTTTCAAGGAAAGAGGCACTTGGCTAGCATTTTAGCTGGGATGTTTTGCCCTTGTCCAAGGTATGTGTTTTTAAATACTTTCTTTTTATTTCCCCCACACGTTTCTTTGCTTGTCTAACGTTTCTCATTTGCCCCCAGGATTGCGTTTAAACCTTGGTGCAGAAATGTAATTTTGCTCTTTTTTTTGGTTTTGGTTGTTTGTTGTTTTTTTGTGGGTTTTTTTGTTGTTGTTGTTGTTTATGGGGTTGGATTTTTTTTAATCCTCTCGTCCTGTCGGTTCAACCCTCTCGCAGTTTGATAGAAACTGAATAGCTCCATCTCTTCGAATAAAAAATACCTGAGTTATTCTTGAAATGGCTTTTTGTGTGTTGCCATGTAGAGGTCTGAGAGCTTTCCGTCTGTTGTGTGGGTGGCAGCCTGCGAGGTTCTCCTGCAACCTGGTAAACGGTTGCAACTCGCCTTCTCCTGAGCACCCGCCAAGAGCGGGCTGAGCCGGCTGACACGGGGCACCCCGGTTTGTGAACCCTGGCGAGCTGGAAACTTGTTGTAACAAGCGGGATTAATGCACAGGAGTGTGCGTTTGGGGGGTTAATTTAAGATGCTGCAAGAAACTTCCGTGAACTGAAGCGTCCTAAAGACAGAAATTTAGCAGAAAGATAACATTTTCCCTCGTGAAGAATCCCACTGCAGACGACTGTATAATAAGACCATTACTTTCAATGCCGTAACCTTGTTTTCTCATCAAAAAAAAAGAGAAAAAAAAAATCAAGATTTAAAAAAAAAAACAACCTCAGCAAAACTTCTTGCTTAAAAAAGAGACGTATAACTATAAATAATTTCTTTCTACCTTAACTTTGTAACTGGGCTTTCTCTATATTTTTTTCCCGAGGACTCCTAATGCTATTAATTTGTCTAAAACTTTATTCTGGGTTGTCTTGAATTATTTCCCTTCTCTATCCTTTAAAACATTTTCATAATAAGCGTGACTCCGGACAATGTTTGATTTGTTTTTCTCCCCTCATCCCGGTTTAGACTGAGACATTAGCTGAATTCCCTGGGGGTGATTGGATGCAATTCGCTGAAAGTCGACAGGCACGTCCTGGATGTTAGAAATTCACTTTTCCTCAACGTGACAAGGCTGAGTTCGATCTACAATTGTATTTGAAAGGGCAATGAGCGGAAAGATCTCCCATCATTAAAGCCTCCCTCTTCTTTAGCAAAATAACAAGATACTTCATTTGCACACAAACACTCAGGGAAAAAAAAAAAATCCCCAAACCCCAACCGACCCGCGATAACTCTTTAATAAAACGCTATCTCTGCATAATTTGGGAGGGGGGGGACGACATATCAAAAGGTATCGGAGGTCCCCCAAAGCGCCCATGTGATCAAGTTGACTTTTTACTTTAAATCTTGAATAAGATGTGAGTTGTAACAAGGGGATTTGCACTTACTCCATGACCCTTGTAATTGGATTAAATATAGACTGAGACGTACAAAAACATACCAAGATTGACACCTGCCAACTGGACTTCCTTATGATTGATTGTGATGCTTCGTGCTGGCAACAATAATGAAATAAATTGTATGGATAAAACAGCACATTTGTCATTTCCGTGCCATAAGAGAGGAAGGCAGCGTGTTCGGCAAGCTGTTATCTGACAGGCACGAGCAGCAGACACAACTAAAGAGCTAAACAAGGATTCCAGACATTGACAAGACAAATTATAACTTGTCACAACCTTTTTAAATTCAGAAGTTTTCAATTAACATATATATTGCTGTTACATATAAGATCGGGTGGACTTAAAACATAAACAGGCAGGGACGGAGGGCGTCGGGGGCCGCGGGAGGCTGCGGC